ACCTAAAAATCACATTTTTTGAGGGAGAGTGATGAAAGGGAGTTTAAAGCCCCCAGTGATTTTGACCCTAATTTAATGACCGCTAATTTGCGTAAAACTCTGAGTTATGTTTAAAATAAATGGAGTTTTGTGATTATTTAGTTTTTATTACATTTTCTACTATATATATATATATATATATATATATATATATATATATATATATATATATATATATATAGTAGAAAATGTAATAAAAACTAAATAATATATATATATATATATATATATATATATATATATATATATATATATATATATATATATATATATATATATATATATATATATATTATTGAGATAGTCAACCATATAACTGAAGGTTTTGGCAAAAGAAATTATACTTTAGGAGTATCTATAGACTTATCTAAAGCATTCGACACAGTTGACTATTGCATTTTCTTAAAAAAATCAAGCATTATGGTATAAATATTTCAACCTATTCCTGGATTAAAAGCTATCTTACTGATAGAATACAACATGTTTATAATGTACAATCCGGAATACTAAGCATTGTATGCGGAGTACCTCAGGGATCAATTCTTGGTCCACTACTATTCTAAATTTATATTAATTTATAAATTTATCTTTTCGAGAACCCAAATTATGGAATGACTGTCAAAAGGAATAAAAAAGTAATGGTGAAGTCCTTAAATTAGTTTAAGTTTCAAACAAAAAAAAGAAATTTTTAAAACGTGAATATAAGAAAAACTTACATTTTTAGTATTTGTTTGATTATTTAAACGGTTAATTTTTCATCGTTTGACTATTCTTTTGTTTTCTGTTTGTTTATTTTTTACGTAATTGTTTGACTATTTTAACGACCATTACGATATAGTATTTAAGTCTTTATAAAAAAAAGGTTGAGATAAAGTAATGTTTTCCGCATCTTCTATGATTAATCTTATTATGTAATTTTCAGTATTTATTTATGTATTCTCTTCTATTGTATATGTATTTAAACTTGCATTGTAAAAATAATGTTCATACCATGTGAAACAGAAAATATATATATATATTTTTCTGTTACACATAGTATGAACATTATTTTTACAATGCAAGTTTAAATGAGGAGCAAACGTTCAAACCGTGCTTTCTCCTTCAGATGAGAATTTACAAGAAACGCAAAAAACTGATAAAAATTTAAAGAACTGTCATGAATCAAAGTTATAGTTTTCTATTATTCTTAATAGCTCTGAGGAGTATTCTGATACATTGTTTTAGATATTTGTTTGAAAACAAATGAAAAAATGCATTTATTTTTTGGAGAAAACACATTTTGACAGAATACTAAGGAGAAAACATGTTTTGATTGAGTCTCACAAGGATAAAACACTTTTTGAATGATTTAAGTAATACAACAAACGAATAACACAAAGTCAATGGGGTTTATTGGTGCAATTCAAGAATTTGAAAAATTTTGAAATAACGCAACACACAAATTAAGAAATTAAAAAATATGGTAACATAAAACACAATACTAATACATACTCAACAATTTAAATTCTCATTCCAATATCTTCATCCAAACAGTCACACACTTCATCTTCCTCTTTATTCCCGTCTTGTTCATCGAATAATATTTTCCTGTACCATTCAAAATTAGGCTCACTCTGCCATCCATCGCCATATAATAGTTTCAAGAGTTTCTCAACATCTTTTTTCTTCTCGGCAGAAATGGGACGATTTAGTGGAAGAGATTCTAAAGTTATATTTCTGACGTTTGAAACTTTTATTCCTCTTTTCAGGAGTCCTTCTCCAGCTTGCTCACTTCCATCTTCAAATCTATAGTTTCTGAAGCCCTTGACCTTGACAGCTCCTGTTCCTGGGTGTTTCTTGAGAAAGATCCTTTTTAATTCTGATATGTATGAAAGATTTTTGAAGAACCTGTTGAGTGATTTGGTATTTAGAAGTTCCCAATCAACACCCATAACTTTTACAGCTCCATTGTTCTTGTAAATTTCATAATATTGTTCTTTGGATATTATTGTTACACTTTTCCTAAGGATTTTCTCAACCCTACCAAACACACGATCTGCTGGCAGAAAACTATGGCCTCCGGAAAGTAGAGTTGAATTTCTTGAATGTCAGCATTATTTGAAGAGTAGAGAAAGTGCAAAAGCATTTGAAGGTTGATATTGTTCTTGTTTTGGGCAACACATCCGTCACAAAAAAGTCGTAAAGTCTTGATTCCTTTAAGATTCATTGTTCTTAGGTGAGAATGTAGAGCTGAGGAAATTTCGGTACTGCCTTTTCCTGCCTGCTCTTCAGACCATCTATAAAATGTTGGGGTTTTGCCATCCAAACTAGTAATACATAGACTATAAAAATTCAACTGCCTCAGATAATATGCATCTTGAATGTTTGTTTTTGGCAATTGTTGTATTTGCTGTAGATCAAAACACAAACTGCACACAGATTCATCGGTTTTTTCTTTCATGTCCGCATAAAATGCATTTGCCCTAAGTTTATGAATTCTTTTCTGAGTCATAAGGTTAACACGTTCCATGGATCCTGATGGCAATGTTTTAATTTTCTGGTCTAGAAGGGCGCACGTGCTACAAACATCACTTGATGGCGATTTGAAGCCAATGTTAAATTCATTAACAAACACTCTACTGAACATGGCAAAACTCACTCTGTACAAATCATCCTTTATTTGGTCACAATAAATTTGGTGCAGCTTTCTTATATTCAATTTACAGTTCAAATACAAACGTCTAGATTTTTTTCTCCCATAGTGACTTTCTGATGCCTTCAAATTAGAAATAAAATCTCTCACTTTGTTCTTTTTATCAATGCTGTGGCTACTTTTCCTATCACCTCCTCTTCTATCCTCAATAGGATCTCCAGCATGGATTTTGGAAACAATATTGGCCAATCTTGTCCTTCCTACTTTAGTAATGGCAATAAAATTATTCTTACAAACAGGAATTCTCGTTTTATTTCCAACAATGAAGTAGTTTGTAGAAAAGGCATGTTGAGAGCTTGACTTATGCGACTTGTTTAGGTTAGGGTTATTAGGCCTTCGTCGAATAACATTTTTTGTTTCAACTAGAGAACTAATTATTGAATCTTGACGAAGTTTGTCAGGAGCTTTATAAAGTTTGTCCCTCAGTTTCTTTACATCGTAAGGTCTAATATCACAACATGAGAACTTCTTTGTTGAATGCTTGCACGGAATGTATACATTGGTTCCTGCAGGTGATGAATAACGCTTCTGTTTTTCTTCTTTTCTTCTTTTGCCAGTTGCCTGTCTTTTACGAGCTCCAGTGTTTCCAATACTTACTAAAATACCATCAACCACTTCATCCATTTGAAATCGAAAGATTGAAACTAATAAAACTGTAGAGCTATAGTATTAGTGAACTACCTACCATAACCTTACTTTCAGTACTGAACCACGTGTTAAAACAGCTTATGCCAACTAGTCATGTGATCATAGAGGACCGCTCCCATTGGTCAGCTGGAGAAAGCACTGTTTGACTGAACACCGACCTTGGAGAAAACACTCTTTGATTGAACAGTTAGTTTTGCACGCTGTTTTTAAATAGGATAAAGCATGATTTGACTGAAACTAAAGCTTGAATCTGGTGCTATTTAACATGGACTACAAGAAACCATCAATAACTCAGTTTTTATTTTTTTTGGAGAAAACACGGTTTGAATGTTTGCTCCTCAAATATATATATATATATATATATATATATGTATATTAATATATATTATATATATATATATATATTATATATATATATATGTATATGTATATATATATATATATATATATATATATATATATATATATATATATATATATATACACGCACACAAGAGCATTTTTTTTTTTTAATAACAGTTTCATATATGTTTTCGAATATTTTCCGCAAGTGCACGTTTTCGAAATGCTCCTTTTATTAGGGACTGTTGCTTTCGAAATGTATCGTTTCGCAAGTCGTTATTACGGAATTTAATTTTTTTTTTTTTTTTTGAATAGCACCTTACGGAAGGTGAATTTTCGCTTATGTAAATCCCGTAATAGCTTTTAAAATACGTAAATAAAGATGCAAAATTTTTGCAAGTTTTACATTTCGGCGAACAACCCTAACCTCAACAATTTTGTTAATGAACTTAACAATGTTGATCTTACAACAACCTCTCATTACCGTTAAGAATCCATAATTTTTTTATTAATAATTTTTTATTTTACTATTTTTGTAGTAAATTTAAATGGTTTTAATTGCATTTAGTTTTATCGGTTTTGACTATTTTATTTTTTATTTACTTTTTTAATGACGTCACATTTCACTAACATATTTGGATTTGTAAGCGAGTAAACTAGCCTATACGATAGGTATAAAATAAGCAATAAAATTTCTGTTAATATTTTTAGATATATAATTTGATATATATATTTAGATATATTTATTAAAATCACAAATTTAAAGTATATTTAGAAATAAATTTATTGAAATCACTTGACATATTTAAACATTTTTCTTTTTAAAAGCCCTGTTCATATAACTAAAGGTATATCATTCGCAACTATACTTTCAAATGCTTTTACTCTAAAATTTCATATTGTCGTGCTTTCACTAGATTTACTAACTTAAAAAGAGCGACTAAGGTATAAACCTTACTCAGATTCTCACATTCTTTTGTTACATTTTCATATTATCTTTCGTAACAACTATGAATGTAAGCATCAAAAAAATAAACAAAATACAGGAGTTGCAAATAAATTAAATAAAAAATTTATCATCATTATACTTAATGCGATTTGTGTTAATTACAAATAAACAAAGTCGGTTTTGAAAGTGAGAAAATTTTATTTTATTTTATGAAAGTGAGATATTTTATTTTATGAAAGTCATTATTAAGAAAGTTATTATTAAGATCATTATTAAGAATGAAAATTAAAATTTTAACAACGAAAAAAAAAGTTGAATAAAAATCAAAAGTTAAATGTAAAAATATCGTTATATAAGATTTTGTCATTAGAACAGTTAAGTAACGACAGCGTCAAAAGAGAGAGATGCAGCAACTCGTGCTTTTTGTAATGTAGCTCGTAGTATAAACTGCTTCCGAGATAATGTTCTCACCGCCTGAAATAAAATACAGACAATTTATAATTAAAAAAAACAACAGATTCATTTATAACTGAAAAATCTAATTCATCAATAAATTTATTTTATACCTTTAAAAAAGTTTCTAACTCAATGACATCTTTGTGTAAAGCATCACTCAAATAGTAAATTGCATCCACTACAGCAATTTCTTCAGCAAATAAATCCAATATTCTGCAAAATATTTACTCCCATTCACAATAAAAATTTCAGGCTGTTCTACACTATAAAATTTTCTAAATTCTCAATAGTATTTCAGTTAGACCTAGTTTTAAAAATTAAATTGAATCTGAACTTTTTTTTAGATTGTCAGGTAAATGATATTGAATGCAGGCATAAAGAAAAATATGTATATATATATATATGTATGAAATATATATATATATATGTATATATATATATATGTATATATATATGTATATATATATATATATATATATATATATATATATATATATATATATATATATATATATATATATATATATATATATATATATATATATATATATATATATATATATATATTAGACTGTTTCATTTTGAGGTCATGAAAAAATTTAAAGTACCATGGAGTGTTATCTGCTGCGTCGACCCTTATTTTATTAGTAAAGTTTTTTTTTTTAAATTTTGACCACTTTTAGGGGTTGCTTAAGTGCCTCAAAAGTCATATTTTAGACTTTTTACCCTTTTTTAAGCCCATTTTTCGCACGTTTGAGCAAGTACTAAAACTCAAAAAAATTAAATTTTTTTTTCCAGAGTTTTTTCTAAGTTAGAATATTTAAATTAAAATGCATGATAATTTTATTTTATTGAAATATTTTGTGTAAATTTATAAACAAAAACGCAAAGTTATGCAGATTTTTACCGATTTTTACGCAATGCAATATCTTTATGGATATGTTATGTCGTTTGGAAAAAAACCCTAATTATGTTGCATAAAACATCTATATATATCATTAAAGGTCTATAAAAACTTTATTATATTGCATAAAACTTTATTAAATTGCATGAAACAAAAAAATCTAATTATATTGCATAAAACGTCAATTTCGTTTAACAAATTTCTTTGTAATTGCTTTAGTTTAAAAAAATGTTATGTTGTATTTTTATATTGTTTTTTTGTTTTTCTTGGATTTCTTAGTTTTTTCTCCATACTTCATTTTGTAATTATGCAAAAATAAAAATGAATCCTGTCTTTTCTCTTCTTTTCTCTTCTTTTCGGGCAATATCAATTTTGTCTTTTATGAGTTTAACGGTTCTTTCAGAGCAATCATTAACAACTGAAAGATTAAAAACTGCCTCCTGAAATTTTAAGTAGAAATTGTTGCAAGTCCAATATTCTGGAGGGGTTTTCATCCATTGACAGTTAATTTTACCAAATGAACTAAGCTGGGAGGCTTCGATCCACTGAAGTATAAAGAATTGAGGACCTCTATGTTAGCACTTATTCGGGCTTAAGGATATTCATCCATACTATGAAATTCATAGCTGTATAGTTTTTGAGCAATATCACCTCTTTCTTTACATTTTTCATCAGCTAGGGCTAGTACAATAAGGTAAGGGTCCAGAAACCATGTGTGGCGTTTGAGAGATTCAATGACTGATTCTGCCCCAATCAAATTGTACTCCTTAAACCTATTCATTTGCCAAAGTGCTTTCATATCCTGGATAAAACAAAAAACTGTTAACTTTTCTTTAAAAAAAATTTTTATTTTAGATACTTTTAATAATTATCAAAACTTTTTATTCAAACTAGAAACCTTTTATATATTATATTATATATTATATATATATATATATATATATATATATATATATATATATATATATATATATATATATATATATATATATATATATATATATATATATATATATATATATATTTATATATATATATATTTCATACTTTTTAAGTTGGTACCTTGATAGTTCAGCTTTGAGAAACCAGGTAGTAAAGAAAACAGAGACAAAAGTTACCACTTCAGTAATTTCATGCTTCAGCCGTTTTTCCAGATTAGGTATAGCATCCATCATAAGTTGGAGTTTTAGGTAGTAGATACCTATATTTTTTAAAAATAATAATATTTGATAATGTAAAAAAAATTACATTTTTTTGCTATGAGGCTATAATTTTACTACACTTTGAACCTTTTCTTATCATGAACCTACAATTCTTTACTTTATGCCATAAAGCGGGCATGGTGAACTGCTCCGGGAGTACAAAATTTGTACCTGTCCTCAGAAAGCACCATAAGTGTAAGCTCTGCCAGCTCAATGTAGTCCTTCCTTGTAGCCCCATCCTAAAAATGAAATCGAATCATAAGAATTTAGGTATAATACAATAAACCTATTTATATTTTAGTATAATAAAGAATAATAGAATTAAAAAATATATATATATATAAATTACAACATAATAGTACATACTACATAGATAACTACAAATTCAGATATCTAGTTATTGGGCTACCTTTTTTAGAGACCCACTGGTGATAATATTTCTGCAGAACATTATGCTTTCATGCTTTTCATGACCAAGCCATGTTCCTCTGGAATAGTCAATTTTTTCAAAACCTTATTTATTCAAAAATAAAAAAAAAAAATTCAATGAACTCCAAATTGGAAAAAGAAAATTTCACAAAATGGTAGCTAATTTTGTAAAAACCTACCTGGTTGTCTGCGTCAAGATCATTGCATGCTGATTTTAAAGTTTTAAACAGCAGATTATCTGGTCCAGAAGTAATGCTACTTTGATATTTTTCCAGAAATGTGTTATGTGCAGCTCATTGACATGATGTCGGGATGCAATAGATAGAACTTGTCGTTGAAAGACTTCATTTACCAGTGAAGACACAGCCCCATTTTTGTTTCCAGTGTTGATTCTGGTATCAAATGTAACAGCTTGTATATTGCCTGTAAGGTTAAAGCTATTTAAGATATCTCTGATTGCATTTTTTTTATTTTCGCCAGTTCCAGAAGAAATTGGTAGAATTCCCAACAGGTGCGTTTCCTTGTTACCGTTTATTAATATTGCTAATCGATCTTGTTCCAATTTTTTCCCATCAGTATATTCATGACATACTTTTCCATCAAAATGGAGTTGAACTAAAATATTCTTATTGATTTTTCTAAAACTTCTCAAATCATCCTTGACCCTCTTAGATTCATCATGAATGACCTTATTTACAGCGTGTAATGCTGTAGAGGTTAAACATTTAAAATCAGCTACATTTCCACCCGATTTAGCGATTATACTATTAACTATGGAAGCATGCTTCCTATGACTTATTCCTTCCCCAACAGCAGTATCAGCAGTTCTCTTGAGAATATCTTTTGGAAGCATAAAAGTATTAGCTTTTTTGACTTTTTTCTTTAACTCTGGATCTAGGTATGGAAAATCATCATTATCTTCATCTTTCTCCGATCCATTTGAGCTGAATTCACTCTCTGACATAGTTTCGTGCAAATTTGATTTCTTTTTAATTTTGGATAAACCCCTGTTTACAGAGTTAAGGTACCTTGTATCGATTCCACCTATTCTAGTTTTTCTATCTCCTAATTGGTCCAATAAAAATGCAATATCTTCAGTCTTGTCTTGATCCTTTCATTTCCAATCAGCTTTAATGATTGCAACCAAAGTATCGAGCTCAGATGCAATCCAAAAGATCCTTTTCATCTGAGTTAAAAAACTCCTCCTTTTTTTTAATCTCTGATAAAGTTTGCCTTGCTTTGTTTGTTTTTTTAACAGTTTCCAGGTTCGGATCAGCTTCTCTATCTTTATACTAAAAAATGTATATTTTACAACACACCTATTTCTGTTTATTCACTTATTTAACAGCAGACATTAGTTATATTAATATTTTCCTCTAATAATCAATAAAGTATAAATAAAAGAAAAACATATAAAGTCTGGTACTTACCTAATTGTTTGTAATTGTAAAATCTAAAATCCACCCTTCATCCAAGGTGTAATTAACTTTGAAAGAGTACAGCAAATATATTTTTCATTATTTCAGCTGATTTTATGTCAATGGACAGTGGATAATTCTACTTTCTTTTTGTTTTGGGTACTTTTCCTTCAAATGCAAGAAATATTGCAAAACTTCTTGCTCTGAAGCAAACTTGCCTTTTGGTAAGGATGACCTGGATTCCCCTACCAAAAAATGTGTGTCAACTTTTTTATTATTTTTTTCTGACATGAATAAATCTGTAGTAAGCTTTAATAAGTATATGGAGTAAGTATATCATAAAAGTAATCATTATTGATTTCCCGGCTTTTTTTTAAATCAAAATTAAATTTTGTTTTTGTTAAAAAGTAATTTGCATAACATGTTTAAGCAAATATGCAACATTTTTAAATTAACGCGAAGCGCAACAACTTGTGAAAATCTGCATAACTTAGCGTTTTTGTAGATAAATTTACACAAATTATTTCAATAAAATAAAATTACCATGCATTTTTAATTTTTTATTCTAACTTAGAAAAAATTAATTTTTTTGAGTTTTAGTACTTGCTCAAACGTGCAAAAAATGGACTTAAAAAAGGGTAAAAAAAACGAAAATATGACTTTTGAGGCACTTGAGCAACCTCTAAAAGTGGTCAAAATTTAAAATAAAAAAAATTCTACTAATAAAATATGGGTCGGCGCAGCAGATAACACTCCATGGTACTTTAAATTTTTTCATGACCTCAAAATGAAGCAGTCTAATATATATATATATATATATATATATATATATATATATATATATATATATATATATATATATATATATATATATATATATATATATATATATATATATATATATATATATATATATATATATACATACATATATATATATACACACACATATATACATTTTTTAATTGACAACACCTTATATGAAAGTTGAATTAATTATATTAATACAAGATGTATGAAAGTTGAACTAATATAATTAATATATAAACATCAATAAATACAAGTTCTCTCAATACCGCCATGTATGTATGGTGTAATTAAAGCGCACAAACCAGAATAAATTATACTTTAGGTGATTAGTAGTTTCAACAATCAGGACACCAAGTTATGGAATATCAAACTATTTAGTAAATATATTTGAACCTATTTTAAATAAGAATATAACAAAGTTAAAGAATTCGTCAACTTTTGTAAAAACAGTTGAACTATGGAATATATCAAACAATGAAATACAGGTGTCTTACGACGTTGTTAATTTATACCCATCAATCCCTCTGGAAGAGGCCACAAAAATTCTTTTTGACATGTTAGAGCTCTTCCAAATTTAAATTAATTAAGAAAAAACTAAGCATTTCAGAAATAAAATCGCTAATAGAACAATTTATATAAATTTTATTTTTATGGAATGAAGAAATTTACTAATTTGTGGATTCAGGTCCAATAGGACTTTTACTCATGGTAATACTTGCGGAGATTTCTTACAATTTTTGGAAAATAAAGTATTTGACATGGCCTTTACTCTAATCCATGGCTAGAAATAAAATAGTTTTTAAGATATGTAGATGATGGCCACGCACGGTTTACCACTAAAGATAATGCCATCCGTTTTATCATCATGCCGTTAAATACACAATTAAATTGGAAGATAAAAGCAAAAGAATAAATTTTTTTAGATATCCAAATAACCAACAATCAAAAAGGTAATTATGATTTTAACATATATCGAAAAGTAGCAATAACAAATATTCAGATTAAGCCCAACTCAAAACATGCTCCAAAAATCTTAGAAAGCATATTTAAGGGATTTATCCATAGAGCTTTATCAAATTGCTCTGAGAAATTTGTAAATAAAAAAATCGATTTCCTAATAGATGTATTTGCTGAAAATGAATACAAAAAGAAAAAATTACAAAACCTTGCAAATGTTGTTATAAAAAAACAACACTCAAATAATTAAATAGTTTCATCTAACAATGAAGCAACCATGCCAACTATCATCAATGATAACAATGAAGCAACCATGCCAACTATCATCAATGATAACGATGAAGCAACAATGCCAACAAATCACTACCCAATAATATCACCAAAACATTGAAAAATCTTTAGCAAAGTAGGTTAAAAGCGCAAATCTTAAATCTTTACTAACCTCCCACAGCAAAACAAAACTACTATCAAATAGCTATCCTAGAGTATACCTAATAGAATGCGAGTGTAAACAAAAATACATTGAAACAAAAATGAAAATAGCAACAAGAACAAAACAACACCAAAAAAATGTATTAGAAGAAAAATGGGACCAATCTGCAATTGGGCATCATAAAAACAAATGTCCGTGCAATAAAAAATAGGAGCGAGTCGAAACATTGAAAATAGAACCTAAAAATTTTGAAAAAAAAATTCAAAAATCAATTGAAATTCAGTATAACAAATTTGAACCTAAAAATGGAGATATGAATTTAGGTGATGGTCAACATGTATACTATACTTTTATACTTACACAACATTAAAGAAGCCTATTAAAAGAGAACTTTAAAGAAAAAAAATTTAAGTTACAGTTTCTTTGTAATTAAATATTATAATTAGTTTGTAATTAAAATTGAAGATGCTAGTACCAAAAATCCACAGCTTTGGGGAGGGAAACAAATTTAAAAAAATATAGCACATAGTTTATGTAACCTTTCAAACTTATTATCTCAGATTTTCTTTAACATCTGCTGTAGAGGTTTTATGAAAAAATAAACTTTCTCAAAATCTTAAATTATCTGAATTCAATTTCAAAAAAAAAAAAAAGTCTATTTCAAGCAATCTTTTAAATCCACCATTTTGAACTTGTTGTAATTAAATAATATAAATGGGGAGAGAAATGTTTCAAAATGTAGAGTTGGGCACATTTTGATAAATTTTACAAATTGGGAAGGATGGTGTTCTTCATAATAGTGAAGAGATATTAGTCTGGAAAACAAAACATTCTTGCTTTGTTTTGTTCTAAAAAAATAAACTACTATTTAAACTCTAATAAATGTTCATAGAATAATACAGCATCTATAGAGTAATACTATAGAATGCTTTTTAATTTACTTCTTATAATCAAAAATAATAAGAATGAAAAGATATTTTAATATTTTTCGAACTATCAATGAATAGAAAATACACTGTAAAATTAACAATCTACAAATCAAAAAAATAAAGTCTATAAATCAAATATCTTACTGGTTATATAAAGGTGCCGTAGTGACAACAGCTTCATCGATATTCATGTTGCTAACATCATTTTCTAGTTTGTTTATATTTTCATCAATTTCGTTATTTTTATTCTTCAGTAATTCTATATTAGCTTTCAATATTCTCTAAATATTTCAATATTTCAAAAAGAAAATTGAGTAATGATTAATACTAATGTGACAGTGGTGAAGTAGAGCACTCACTTTATATACGCTCAAACCCACTATGCCCCTGTAAGTATTAAAGCCAGATCATTTACGCATCGAGGTTTCTATTTTAGAGTTATAACATTGAAAAAGGGGTATAACATCAATTATTAAAGAAATAACAAAAAAATCAGCTGCTTCCTTGATTATTTTGACCTTGTGAAGATGGGAGGGGGGGGGGGGAGAATATTAAAAGAATATATAAAATCTATACAGCAGTATTATTTTACTTTACTTTTTATGTAGTTGTATGTGTTTAATATGTATGTGTCTGAATAAAATTTCAGACACATACAAATACATACAAAACCTTTTTCTAAATTAATTAATCAATTACTATTTACTTAATTTAATTTAAATGGCAGTTTTATATATGCTTTAAAAATATATACTTTTTTTGAATTTTTTAAAAGATATTGATATAAATTTCCCAAAGGTTATTAAATCTTTTTATCTGCTAAGATAGAAGACATGTTTCCTGAAGCAACATAAAAGATAGAATAAGTGCCATGTTTCATGAAAAAATATCACAACCAAGTATCTTTTGTTGTTTGATATCTTTTAATTGAATTTAAAAAAAATTGAGAGAAAAATCCACGCTTAAAATGAATCATAAGTCATAGATTTTAATCAAATCTTTATTTATTTTTAATAAATTTATAGTTTTAAAATTCTTATGTAGTTATCAAGTAATATTTAGACTAAAATTATTCCTTATAATTTGGTGCTATTTTCATTTAGTTAATATTTTATTGGTAAAACATAGTTTATTCCAAAGCATATAATTTACTTCAAAAAATATAAGTGCCATGTTTCATGGACACTAGTCAAATGTAGTAGGTTTAGGTTGAAAATGATTACTTCAAAAATTTTAGTTTCATGATATTAAGGAATGGTAAACAGACTGATCTATGGAGAGAACGAATTGTTTGGCGTACATCCTGATGAAAAAATCAACTTTTTAGGGAATTGGGGCAAATTTCTCCCCTCCCAAAAAAAAATTGTGACATACAATTTTTTTATAATTTTTTTTTTACTTTCTTAAACAATAAGAAAATTAATAAATAAATTTGTTGAAAAAATATTTTGGTGCTTATGTAAAAGTTTTTGATAAAGTTGAAATAATTATTGATAATTTATAATATTTTTATTTCTAACTTCAAAATATTTTGTATTAATATTATATATATATATATATATATATATATATATATATATATATATATATATATATATATATATATATATATATATATATATATATATATATATATATATATATATATTCAGTCACATATTACTAGCATAATTAATATAAGTGACATGCCTTATAAACATAGAGATCATTTATTGTCTCGCAAGATTATTTGTGCTCGTTGTGGTAAAAAAAATTTAAAATGTTCTATGCTGGAACCTGGAACTCAGTTCCTAAATCTGGTTCAAATGTATGCAAACAGCAACTACAATCCAGATCTACTTTCTAGCCCAACAGGTTTATGTTCAAGCTGCAAGGTTTACTTATACTCTGCCAAAAAAGGAGAGTCATTATCTATTGTAACTTTAGAAAATTGGTTGCTCACATCTGAGAGAATTAGATTACTTCCAAGATTTAAAGGTAAATATGTATTCTATATTTCTCTTAAATATATATATATATATATATATATATATATATATATATATATATTTATATATATATTTATATATATATATATATATATATATATATTTATATTTATATCCATATTAATTTATAATTGCTTTGTTCTTTTAAGAACATTGAGCATTCTATTTTGTAGAGTATACATTTTAAAATTGTTTAAATATATATATATATATATATATATATATATAATATATATATATATATATATATATATATATATATATATATATATATATATATATAATATATATATATATATATATATATATATATATATATATTTATATTTATATATATATATATATATATATATATATATATATATTATATTTATATATATATATTAATTTATAATTGCTTTGTTTTTGCATTCTATTTTGTAGAGTATACATTTTAAAATTGTTTAAATATATATATATATATATATATATATATATATATATATATATATATATATATATATATATATATATATATATATATATATATATTATATATATATATATATATATATATATATATATATATATATATATATATATATATATATATAGGTGATGCAGAGTCAACCAAGATAAATCCAAAGAGGTAAACCTGAAGGTAATGTATAACTTTTAATGTAAACTTAGTAACGTAACCATTTGAAAATCAATTTGCATAAAATATAAGATGTAATTTTCATAATTGATTTGAAAATTGATTGAATTACCATTAATGCTAACTTATAAAGTATAAAAAAAAATTTTTATTATGCTAACTTATAAAGTATAAAAAAAATTTTTTTAGGATGTTTTAAGTGTTTATTTAAATGAACCTGAGATATCAAATGAAGTTATTAAAAAAATTTGCTTTAATTGTTATCAAAGAATCGGAGTGGGAATTCGACATTCCTGTAGTAAGAAAGATACTGTGGAGAACTTAAAATGTTGTTAATCTCAAAAGGTAACAGAATAAATACATTATAGTCTGAATAAAAGTAAACTTTTTTATTAAATCTTATGACAAATTTTAAATGTTAAATTTTAGGTTTAAAAACAGTAGAACAAGTCCTCTCCAAATCTTTAAAAGAAATCCAGCAAGTTCAAAACATTCAAATGGGGGAAACTATAAAATTGTCGACAGGCGGAACTCCGTTGAGTCTACAGATACGAAAGAAGAAGACAATGAAAACAATATCAAGTCAAACTGTCTATAATATAAAAAGAAAGCACGATCTATCAGATTCTACAATAAATTCAATTGCAATGGATTGCAGAAAAGATTTGGGTAGATTGGGGGTGGAAGCTAACACTTCAAAGAAAATAAAGATATGGTCGTGTAGTCTTGATGATTATTATGCAATAGAAAAAGTGGAGTTTACAGCTAAGAAAAAGGTTGGAAATAAAAACATCCTACATACTGTAATTAAAGATTTAGTGTATGTGAAAGATTCCAAATCACTTGTTGAACATATTTGCACTGTTAGGGGACTAGCAATAGATAAATTTATTATTCGTGTTGGAATAGATAATGGTCAAGGATCCTTAAAATTTGTAATGAATGTTTTTAATATAGAAACAGATATTGACTGTCGAGAAAACAAAAATACTGGTGTTAATAAAGTTCTGGTATTGGCATTTGTCAAAAATGTTACTGAAAATCATGCGAACCTTCAGATAATTATCGAGAAAATAATGCTCAACAGACTTAAGTTCTACTTAGTTCTATCTTAAACTGCTAAATATAATATTAGGCTTATCAGGACATGGAGGTAAATACTCTTGTTTATATTGCAATAGTGAAAAGTCAAATTTGGGAGAATTGAGAACTTTCAAAAAGTTAAAGTTGCTGTATGGAAGTTTTGCTGAAAATGGATCTAAGAAAAGTTCTATGCAGATCTACAAAAATGTAATACATCCATGTCTGCTTGATGTAGCTGAAGATACACATGTACTTGATGTAGTTCCTCCACCAGAACTTCATTTGCTGATGAAGATTGTTACAGAGATTTCTAATGTTTTATGTAAAGAACCAGAAATTGCTGTATGGCTAAGTAACCATGGGATAATTTGGCATGGATATAATGGAGGTGGGTTAGATGGTAGAAATGCTAACAAAATTTGGAAGCTATTGCCTGATTTGGAACAACATATTTTTGACCATTATCCTTTTTATCATCCAGTTGTTGAACTGTTAAAATCGTTTTCTATAGGTAATTTATACATATACACACACCTCATACACACATATATATATTTATTGCGTATGAACTATTTTTTCAATTTAAAACATGATTTAAAAAAATATGATTAAACTTCAACATTAACCATGAAATTTTAGTTGTCGATAAGTGCTTTGGTATGAAACTTCATGAGGGTTATGCAGGTGCCATTGCAATGTATGTTAAGAAGTTAAAGGTAAATTAAAATTTGAAAATAATTTTAGGAAAGTAATTATTGAATATGATGTAGAAATAAACATGAAAACAATTCTTATTTATAAATATTATGTCATAGGCATATTAGCTGTATGGTTTTTTTTTTTTATGTCTATTTATTTTTTACTTTTGATTTAGGAAACTGAAATTTATGTTAAAGTTAACTTTAACCACAATCTCTCAATGGGGTGGAAAGGTCATATTATTGAACACCACCTTGTTATTTTCTTAAACAATATTAGAATGCCTCTAGGTATTTGCTGAGCAATGTTCCAAATCTGTTCATCACAACATGCTTAAAACTTTGAGTAGATTCCCAACATCTGAATCCAGATCAAACCATGGAGAACTACTGAGAAGAGCGGCGTTAGAATATTCAAGCAATAGAGTGTAGATGATTTGATATAAATCAATCATTGGATTTTCTTATTATAATACAATTACTTATCTTTTATGTAATATTGTATATGTCTTGTAAATTATACTTTTTGTATTATATTTTGTATATTTGTTATTTTAATACTCCATAAATTCATTTCTAAATTATGTTGCTTTTTCTGTAAGTTTATCCATAAGCTTAATTTTGTTTATGAGCTTGATTGTTAATTTTTCATGGACTTTCTTATTTTAATATATTCTAGTTATATTTTATTATGTCTTGGACATTTTAATTGTATTATATTATACATATTTGTTATTTTAATACTCTATGAAATCTATTTAAAAATCATTTAGATTTGCATTTTAACAAGTAAAAACAAAAATATTTTTTGAAGAAATATAATAATTTAAAAATTTTCCCCAAAAATATTTTAAAAAAATTTGAGGAGAGGGAAAATTTGCCCCAATTCCCTAAAAAGTTGATTTTTTCATCAGGATGTACGCCAAACAATTCGTTCTCTCCATAAATCAGTCTGTTTACCATTCCTTAATATCATGAAACTAAAATTTTTGAAGTAATTAAATTTTCAACCTAAACCTACTACATTTGACTAGTGTGGAGCAACTTAAAAACTAAGCTTTTATTTTGATACTTTTGGGAAATTCATAATATATAAATTTAATATATTTTTTTTATATTTTCATAATATATTTTGGGAAACTCATAATATATAAATTTAATATATTTTTTTTATATTTTCATAATATATTTTGGGAAACTCATAATATATAAATTTAATATATATTTTTTATATTTTCATAATATATTTTGGGAAACTCATAATATATAAATTTAATATATTTTTTTTATATTTTCATAATATATTTTGGGAAATTCATAATATACAATTAATATTTTTTGAAAAATTCGAAATAAAATTTAGTTTTAATGTTACTACATTCTTGATTTATAAGATATTTTTATGGTTCTTTTTAAATAACAATAACAATGGAACAGATTAAACATTATTTAAAAAACCTGTTTCTTAAACTTTAATTTACAGCTGTTTATTTATTTTAGACTACGATCCTACATGCTTATTGGCTACAAACATATTGCCAACAAATTTACAAAAAAAAGTAAATTAAATTAAAAAACATTAGTAATTAAACATAAAGAAACACTATTTAATTTGAAATATATTTTTTGAAGTAAATTATATGCTTTGGAATAAACTATGCTTTACCAATAAAATATTAACTAAATGAAAATAGCACCAAATAATAAGGAATAATTTTAGTCCAAATATTACTTGATAACTACATAAGAATTTTAAAACTATAAATTTATTAAAAAATAATAAAGATTTGATTAAAATTTATGACTTATGATTCATTTTAAGCGTGGATTTTTCTCTCAATTTTTTTCAAATTTAATTAAAAGATATCAAACAACAAAAGATACTTTTGGTTATGATATTTTTAATGACACTTCTAATGACCCTTAAATAATGTAACTGTTAGAAACACACAAATAAAAATTTTCGTTAATAAGATTATGTGTAAAAGTTTTTATAGCATTAAAAAAATCATTCTTGTTAATAAAAATAACTTATCATCATATCAACATAACAAAAAATATTATTGTTAAGGAAATATATTATGAGGATACAGTTATAACTTTTTTATTATTATTAATGGTTGTTATAGAAATCACCTGTTCATTTTCCATTTTTACCATAAACTCTTTTAGTTCTTTGTTTCCATTTTGTAATATATTTTTGGTAGACTCTAAATCCTTCAACTCATTCTACAATAACACATATAAATAATAGAAATTATACTAAATAATAAACTTTTAAATAACAAAATAAACTTTTAAATAAAATAAAATGTCACAAACTTTATATTAAATGCCAAGCATACATATGAAAGACATGGTCTAACTAATTTATTACTATCTTAACTAATCGAAATGTCGAAAATATACAAAATGAAAAGTTACAATATTTTAAATGAATAACAAAAAGTGATATTTTAGAGATATCTAGAAGTAGAGAAAGCAAAAAAATACTGTTATATATCACTTACATAATTAGTCAGTTATTACTAATATATACTGTTAGATTCACTAACATAATTAGTTATTACTAATATATATGTTAGATATCACTTACATAATTAGTTAGTTATTACTAATATATACTGTCAGATATCACAAACATAACGGGTGATAACTAAGTTTTGGCACGAATACAAAAGTGCATATAATTTTATTACTACATACTCTATAAACATTGTAAATTACTTAAAATGAAGTTCTTGTATTTTATTATACAGTTTAATAAAAAATTTTACTACTTTTCTTTTTTTTTTAAATTACAGGAGATGGCCACGGCTGTTTCAGAGTGAGCTTTACGGCTTCTTGTTTTTTTTTTACTTAGGGGGTGTTACTAAAATATTTATAACTTTTGAAATATTTGAGACAATTTTGTTTTGTAAAAAGAATAAAAACAACAATAAAATGTTTCATCATACGACATTTAATACAATAGTAAAAAAACTTCTTTTAGTTTATAAAAAACGCGACAAATGATGAACTTGGCTAAATTTTAGTAATTTGTCGTTACTTTTTATAAAAAAAAAAATCAGAAAAATATATTTCTGATAGTTATTATTAAATAAACTCGTTGTTTGACTATTATTAAAATAAAAAAAACTTACTTAATTGTTAAAGATTAACTAAAACAGTTTTTATTGAAGTCTGCTTGTAGATTAGCCACGAGAAAAAAAAACTTGCTAAAGTTTGTTTATTTATACAATAAAGTTTGTCTTGCTAAAAAAGCTGTTTTAATAAATTTAGTTAGATAGTAAATTGGGAAGTAACGCATTTAAAGTTATGTCATTGCTTTAAAATATAAACAAAATTTTTATGCATGTAATTACAAACTTTCTTGCTAAACCTGCCAAGGTTAAAGATGTTTTAGCTTGAAGTACAGAAAGTAATTTTTTTGATTTTCATGTGCATAAAGGGTTGTAATTTCAATAATTTGGTGAAATTAACAAAAATATAACGTTTTTCATATAAAACAAGTAATAACAAAAATATAAATTCTAAAAAATCCAACTTAAAATCTTTTTTTTATCTATGTTCACCAAAAATCTGATAAAATAGACATTCGTTAATAAGTATATAAAATTTCAATAATCAAGCATGTAGCTTAAAATATTAAATCTTGATTGGCCCAAGACAGGTTTTCTGTTAGAATAGCCAAAAAACAGAAAAGTGATTCCAAATCATTAAAAATATTTTAATGTTTATTTTTATTTCGTTTAATGTGAATATTTATTTAAAGAAGAAAGACAGTTCTTTTATATTTTTTTAACTTTAAGATAAAGGCGTAGAAAAAAATACTATTATTTTAAAGTTAGTGAATTTTTATACTTATTTATGCAGAAATACGTTCTTTTTTTTATTTATTCGAATTTTTATACGTATTTATGCAGAAATACGTTCTTTTTATTTTAACACAAAAATTCTTGTGATGTCAAGCTCGCTTTTATATTGAGTGAAACAGCCGTGTGGCAAACGTACGAGACTATAAAAACTAAATTGTACAAATTCATTGTTCAGAATACTGAAATAGAATCAAATGAAATTGCAAAGCGTTGGTGAATCGTACTTTACTTTGAGCCACGCTGATCAGCCAGGTAATGACGCTTTCTACACCAATGACTTTAATAAGACACCGGATGTTAAATACAGTTTCAAAAAAATATCCCCAAAAGTTGCTTGTATGGCTTGTTATATCACCTCAAGGATTAACAAAACCTTTTTTTTAAAAATCTGGAAATGATCAACCAAGACATTTATTATGAAATTCTAAATAACAAACTCCTTCCGTTTATTAAAAAAAATTATAATGCTGGTGGTTGTGTTTTGGCCTGACTTAGCGTCCGCTCATTATGCTTCTAAGGTAACTAAATTTTCGGAAGACCAGAATATACCTTTTGTCCTAAAATTCATGAATCCAGCAAATTTGCCAGAAGCTCGCCCAATAGAAGATTTTTGGGTAAACTTGAAAATGGAGGTTTACAAGAACAACTGAAAAGCAAAAAATCATGTTGAGTTAAAAAAAAAAGATAGTTAGATGCCATGGCAATATGGACTTAAAGTTTGTACAAAACCATGCTTTATAAGTCAAGAAAGGCTTGATAAAATAAGGAGATCTGGACTAAATATTTTTTCATTATTATTTTTTTATAATAGACTTAATTGACAATATTATAATGTATTTAATAGATCTAAAATAAAATTTCTAACATTATTAAATTTCAGTTTAAGTTTGTGCCAAAACTTAGTTATCACCCATTAATTAGTTAGTTATTACTAATATATACTGTTAGATATCACTAACATTATTAAATAGTTATTACTAACATATGTTAGATATTAATAAAATAATTAGTTAGTTATTACTAATATATACTGTTAGATATCACTAACATAGTTAGTTAATACTAATATATACTGTTAGATGTCACTAACATCTGATAATATGAATACACTAATTTAATATTATTATTATTAGTCGAGTTATGTCATTTTTACGTCATTTTCTATTTTAAAGTAGTTTCTAGGCTTTACTATACGCGGTTTTTTTTTTTTAGTTTTATTTACTAACAACGCGTATTACGGGTTGCTTACTGCTAGTAATTACTTATTACTAATATATACTGTTAGATATCACTTACATGATTAGTTAGCTATCGCTAATATATACTGTTAGATATCACTTACATGATTAGTTAGCTATCGCAAATATATACTGTTAGATATCACTAACATAATTAGTTATTACTAATATATGAGCCATTTATTTTGAAAGTGGCGTAAGTCACCTTTTCAAACATATGTTAATGATAACTAACATATAACATATATTAGTTATAACTAACATATGTTATATAATAATGATAATTAACTGTGTATATGTTAGTGATAACTAATTGATTATTTTAGCGAGAGACCAAACAGTATGGACATTTAAATAATTTCAAACAAATAATAAAGAGACTTATTTTAAAACTTACATTTCCAAGCATAAAAACCTCTTTTACTCTTCTTTTAAGCTTATCTTCTACAGATGAAAGTAAAGATGCTTTAATAGCTTCATCGGTTAAAATGCTGCCCTGTCGAGCAATATTAGAAGATGCTTGAAAATTACCAAGTAATGGTTGCTGGATAGTCTTTTGCACTGGGTATTGTGTTGAATTATAACCATAACTAGTCATGTTTGTAGTACTTGTGTTTAGATAATTTTGTGTATTTAAATAAGCAGGCTGAAAATGAGAGGTGTTAGGTGTTGGCATCCTTTGATGAACTAATTGATTAACTGTTGTTTGTGGAAAATCTGAATACGGAGGATAACCAACAGGTTGAACAGATTTAGAATACACTGGACATTCCAAGCTGAATATTGTGCACATGTTTTGAATAAGCAATAATAGAGTTGATTTGGGCTATAATAATAAAAAAAAAATGTAAAAAAACTGTAAACTTTAAACTGTAGTAACCACCATGGCCTTGGGGAAGTAAAAAAATAAAACACTTTTCATATATTAAAAACATAATCACATAGAAATAAAAAAAAAAAAATTTACTTAAAATAAAAATACTTCACATAGTTTTTAAATTTTTCAAATATATTTTTTTAGTTGAGAGGTATTGTAGGTGAGAGGTATTGTAGATGAGAGGTATTATAGGTGAGAGGTATTGTAGGTGAGAGGTATTGTAGGTGAGAGGTATTGTGAGAGGTATTGTAGGGGAAATCAATTTCTGTAAGATTTCCTTTAACATTAAAACATTAACATTAAAACAAATATCAAGCTTTAGGCTTGTTTTGTACTTTTCTGATACTTCGCATGACTTAAGCAGTGTTCCACATTAAATTAAATTCATTAAAGACTACCAAATCATCAATTGAATCTTCATAAAACGTTAGGCAATTATTGACAATGATAACTTTATTTAGACCATTTTATATATTTACTTGATTAATAATACTGAATTACTTTTTACTTTATTAATAAAGCTGAACCTTTAAAATAACCATTGAAAGAAAAAGATCTATTAACTGTAAAATGAAAATAAAAAATCTGTAAATAAATAGATTAAAATGTTCTGTTAGTTGTAGGAAAAAACAATATACAAAGAAAAAAAAAACTTGAAAAAAAAAAAAAAAAACTTGAAAATGTATAACAAGCCATTTGATAAAAACAAATAAAAGAGAATAGTCAGATTATTTACCTTTAAGTAATTATTTATAGATATTTATCACTTATTAAGTAATTTTTTATAAATATTTATTACTTATTTTATACCATTTATTTAACCAAAAAATCAAAAATTACAAATTAAATTATAAATTACAAACTTAGGTTTGGTGTCACTCATAAAGTTAAAAACTAGTCAATGGAGTGACACCTTAATAAAATAAACAAATAAAATAAAAAAATATTAAAACAAGGAAATAATAAAGAAAGTAAACTACATTAATACAAGTAATAAAAAAAGAATTAATAGGAACAATAATATTAAAAAAGTTGGAATCAGAACAAAAATATAAAGGAATATTGCTAAGAAAAATAAAAAAAGAGAGAATAAACAGATGAGATAAGATGAGTGAGAAAAAAATGTAAGAGAAAAACATAAATTTTAATCAAAGTTCAGAAGGATAGAGTGAGATAAAAAAAATTTTGCAGAAAAATATAAAAAAGCAAAATAAAGGCAAACTTAAATAAAAAAATATTCATACATACACTTTTACATACAATATTAAAACCTATATTACGCATTACATAAATTAGTTAAACAAAAGTAAATATCAAAATATAGAAACAGCAACAACTAAATTGACAGAGAAAAATGCAAAAAAATAAATAATTATTAAATAAATTATATTAAATAAATTAAGTAACTATTTATAGATATTACTTATTAAGTAGTTATTTATAGATAAATAACCTTTTTCTCAAAATTCAACAAAATCGACTTGGCTTCCTGACATGTTCCTGTGAATTAATAACTTTAAAATAAACTAGTAAAACATTTTTTTTAAGGCACTTCACTAACATTAAAATTAAAAATTGATTTCATTAAATTATGTACATAACCATTAAAATAAATTAGGAGTAAAGTGAAAAAAATTATTGAATTCATAGAGCATGAGTTAAATTTTTGATATAAAGAACAAAAAAGAACCGATTCCATTTCCTAATATAACTAATAAAGTACTTGGACTTTTCTTAATAAAGCTGTCTTATTTCAGCTGCAAAGACCAGTTTGATGTCTTTTTCAAAAATGTCAATTACCTTTAATTGGATTATTATGAAACACTATTACTTTTCACAACAATTTTTTTAAACAAGTATATTTAGATTATTTTGCATCAGTCTTTTTAAGTCAATGGGCAAGAGTCAAATCATTGGCTTGTCATTTTACTAAGCAAAAAATATTTAAGGTCTAATAAATAGTAAGAAGCTAAACCTTTTAAAGCTTCTAAAGTTGTCTTTTTACTAAAGTTTTCTGCACCTTTAAAAATATTTTTTTAAAACTTTGGCATATATATGCGCCAAATGGTCACACTTAAGCAGTGAACGCCTGAGGGAAAAATGAAGTACATTAGAATAAAGGAGAATTATTTTTTGAACAAAGCTTATTTTGACAGTTACCAAAATAAAAATAAAGATTAATAGAAGAATATTTAAAAATATATAAGACAGACAATGCACCCAAACAATTAGTAAATCTATGCATAGGTGTTAAACTCATCTGATTTTACTTAGCAAAATAAATAATATCTAAGGTCTAATAAATAGTAACAAGCTAAACCTTTTAAAGTTTCTAAAATTTGCTTTTTTTCTAAAGTTTTTTGCACCTTAAAAATATATTTGATTTTCGGATGCTTTGACAATGAGAACTTTTTCTATAGTTCAATGAACTTATACTGATAATTTTTTGTTTTTTTGTTTTGTTATTTAGGTGCCCCAAAAAGACCTAACGGTCTTGTCACAGAGCACCGCGAAAGTGCGTTTAACCAGGAAGTTCACACCTCCTTCCTTACCATGACAAGAAAATATATCCAAGGCTCATTTTGAACCTGGATCTCCTGCTTATAAAGCAAGCGCTCTAACCACTGCCCCACGGCCGCAGTTGGTTTCAAAAAAATGTATCTTTATGTTAATGATATTTTAAAAAAATATCATTTACATAAAAATTTCAAAAACAACAAAATCTTTACTAAAAAAGCTCAATCTTACATAAAGTTTATTTTGCATTCCTAATGATGCTTAAATTTCACACAAACTAAAAATTAATAAAATAATAAATACCTAAAATCTAAATATATAAAAAACATTTACAACTTACGAAATTCCACTCAGTTAAAAAAGGCATGTAAACTCGACCAGATTGGTCAACATGTCTTCCAGATTTAATAACCATTGCACTGGTTGGATTAACATACACAAATGGAGCAATAAATGGATGACCCTGAAGTAACCATATCTTTACAGGGATGTTGTAGTTATTTCCTAAAAAAATTATTCTTAAATTTCAATTATTACCTGAGGCACTGAAAAATAATTCTTATAGTTGGTTTTTTTGAAATAATTTAATTGCCCATTACATTTTATGTGTATGTAACATATAATGGTTATCATGTCTTATAATATAACACTTATATAACAATATAACACTAATAATAATATAATGACTAAATTTTTCTCATAATATAAGTTATAAATATGTTATATACATCATAATGTAATGCATATGTTATTTATATGTTGCATGCATTATAATGTAGGTAATGTATATGTTGCATGCATCACAATGCAGGTAATATATTTGTTGTATGCATCATAATGTAAATTATGTATTTGTTGTTTGCATTATGATATAAGTTATGTATATGTTCAGTCTTCTCTGCTTGTAATTTAATGACGAAAAAGGGGTGACAGCGCATGAATTTAATGACAGTGCACAAAAAAGGGAAAAGATTTTTTAAGAGAAAGAATTTTTGGAGAAAATTTTTATAGTTAGCCTGCGCAAGAAAAAAAAATTTTAAGTTAGCCTGCGCGATTTAAATTTAAATGAAAATAGCGAAAAAAATTCTTTGCATAAATACTAGATAAAATAATTTAAAAAAAAACTTAAAAAAAAGTATTTTTCATAAAAGTTGAACAAATGAAAATAATATTTTTTGTTGCAATTTGAAACAAAACGCTTTTATTTTTTTGGCAAGCACTTTTAAATGCGCTAGCCAAAGTTTTTGGAAAGGCGTGGGCAAGCACATAAAAACTTGAGCGTGAAAGCACTAGCTAAACAGAGAAGATTGTATGTTGTATGCATCATAATGAAAGTTATGTATATGTTTTATGCATCATAATGTAAGTTAAGTATATGTTACATGGACTATGTAATGTAACAAATATGTATATATATATATATATATATATATATATATATATATATATATATATATATATATATATATATATATATATATATATATATCAATCAAATTATAGCAACTTGAATAAGTTACATTTTATTACTACTGTCATACAAGCAGTTATACATCTTACTTTTATTTTCAATAAAAACTTGAACAAACATAATATAAAATTTACCCTTATATGGAACAGGAATAGTACCACCTAAATATAGCAACTGGGTTGCCTTTCCATCATTAGTAACTAAAAAAAAAAGAATTTTTTGAAATTTATATATATATATACATATATATATATACATATGTTAGGGCCCTACGAATCAGCAGTTTTTGTTTCGAATCGAATCTCGAATCAAAACAGACCTTGATTCCCGATTCGAATCACGTTTTGAATCGACATATTGAAGTCTAAATTTAAGAATTTTTAATTTAATAATACATATTTCAAAATAAAATAAAATAAAAAAATTGTATAATCTCTTTATTGATACTTCTTGCCCTGGTTAACCTTTTTAATGACTGATTAAAAAGGTATTTAAGGATAAGTAACGTTATGTCGATAGCGCCAGAGCGCAGAATATCTAAAATACTCACAAGAAAAACAAAATAAATAAGGATTTGATTTTTGAAAATTTTTGAATCGAATCTCAAATCATTTTTTTGATTTGATTTGATTCAAAATTTAATCCACCCTAATCCGTACGTACATTAGTTTACATCTTCTTATCACATAATATGAGATAACAGAAAATGTTTAGACATTTAAAAATACATTTTTTGTAATATTGTTACTTTAAATGTTAAGAAAGTTATCATATGATAAAAAAGGCATTATTGCAAAATATTATTCTGACAATGAATTTTTCAAACTAAATTATTTTACTCTGCTATATTTCAGGTTTTTACAGCAGGTTATTATGAGTGTTGAAAACAAGTTAAAATAATTTTATTTACTTCTAAAACATTCAAAACTTTAAATAGCTGTATCTTTGAGTACTAAAATAATTTGGTGCTCAAAATTAAACATAATATATTATTAAAATATATAGCATATGATATAATATATTTGAAACTATGATCTTATTTAAGGTATAGCAATATATTTTATCAACCAGGAGGTACTGGGAATGTTTATTGTATAATGATTCCATTTATCAAGTTATTTGGTGTGTGACTCATATCAAATTCTTTTTCAAGTTATTTGGTGTGTCCACATATCAAATTCATTTTTTAATTTAAGATTAAATACAGAAATTAAATCAACATTTTGTCTCAATAAAGAAAATAAAAAATGTTGGAAAATTGGAAATACAGGAAAACACCTAGGCACATATTTTAATAATAAAAATATTTCAGCATTTATATATGTTTTAAAATAAACGAATTACAAGAGTTAAAATCAAAACAGAGAACTCTGGTGTATATATAATAATATAATATTTTTGCTTATCAAATAAACTTGTTTATATTTTGAACTATATTATATTGTTTTAAGTTAAAATTATTTTGTTTAAAAAATGAATCAACAAAAGTATTAATATCTTTAGTTTAATAATAATAAATTTGACTTATTTGAAATTTTTATTGCTGAGGAAAATAAACAACTAAAAACTATTTCTGCAAATATAACAGATTGCATATTGATAATTGCAAAGGCATTTGGCTCTGACGAATTGAAATTTGCACAAAAAACATAAGTTCAGATTAGCAGGCAAAGCTTTTAGCATCTGAAGAAAAACAAGAAATCTTGAAAAGTAAAAAATGAAAAAGTGTAAAGTCAGATATCCACAACTTTAGCTCATAGGAAAACACAGGCATAATTATCTGGTACTAAGTTTACAGTTGTTACATGGATGTTTTCCAAGTCATGAATGAATTCAAAATCTTCATCAACACTGCATAGCTATGCGCCGATTTCAACAATATAGCAACATATGCATTTATTCCGTTTTACTTATTTTGTTAAACATGTATTATTAAATACATTAAAAGAAAATTGTAAGTCCAAAATAAAACAAAATTATTTTTGACAATGATTCCAGACAAATAAAAATCTATTTGAGTTTATCAATAAAAATTATGCATGTTTTTTAAAGATAATAAAAGGTATATTAAATATATATTTTTTTACTTTTTGATGGCCAAGTGGTATAAACAAATGGTAACTACGCGTTCCAGGTATGGTATTTGCAGTATCCAATCGTGCCATTAAGAGTGTTTCTTGCCAAAGTTAAATCTTCTGATGATATATAAATGAAATGAACACCTTCAATGTTTTCATTGCAATATATGCACATTGCTTGTGGAGATAAAATATGATTACCTATATCTCTTTGCAAGCTTGCTAGTGTTGATAAATGTTTGACTGAACTACCTATCCCATCACAAGGTTGCTTACCGTGACTTGTTACAAAAAAGTTTCATTTAGCAAAAAGACCAAAATCTTTAAGATGGAAACAAAGATTAAAAATATTTTTGTGAATCTTATATTGACCTGCACACCCATCTGAAAAGTATTCAATATTTTTTATTTGAGGTAGATTTGTTTTAATATCATTGTTGACAACATCAATAATTTTATACACCATGTTCACATCATGCATCATATCTGAAACAATACAATTAGATTTATGCTTGAAAAAAACTTCTTTTTTGAAATAAATAATCATAGGATGAAGTGTACATTGTAAATTTATCCAATGAAAGCTTTGTACTTCATCCTGAACTACAAATTAAAAGTTTTCTGAAAAACCACCAGAAAAATTCCTTCCTTTCTTAATCTCAGGTATGATGCATGACTCAAATACAAAATAAATACAAGTGTGGTGCAAGTTTTGTCAGTTTTTTACATACTAGTTCAATGTATTCAGATACTGGCTCTTTATTATGTGTTGAGTTTGAACTATCTGTTGTTGTCCGATGATTCTACTTCTTCGTCATTTTCAAACTTTCCAATTAAATTATAAAATTTTTCAACCAATGTATTCATAGTTGCTGGGCATCTTTCACATTTTTTATATCATACAGTCTTTATTAGTCATATCACATACAATATAAGGTAAAAGTTCTTTGTATATCACACCAAGAGGATATAAAAGGAGTTTTAAATTCTGATGAGTAGCACAGATGCATACTGAATGTGTTCCTGAAGCACCAGCAGTAATAAACCATTTTAGTCACAATGTGCAAAACCTTGAAAACCCTATATTTATTTCTGGATTTATGGTTTTGAAGGCAACAAACAATTCCTTTAAATTACATTATTAAGAGCAAACATTTTTGTATGTGAACATAGTCTTTATGCTTAAATAGTCCTTTTTACAAGGTATTATATGGCTATATTCATTTTATATTTTACCTGACTTATGCAATAAGAGATACTCCAGCAGTTTAAATGGATGTTTCACTAACAATATCAAAATCTTCAAAACTTTTATTTTCACTCATACTTTTTGATAAATGTTTCATAACTTTACTAAGACAGGTTGGACACAACTTTTTTCCAGGTATAAGATTTAAACCTACGGTTTCTGCTTTTAACACAGTATACATTGTAATCACATATAGAGATGCTGAAAAGAAAATGTAACTATATTACTTAAATTAATGAATAAATCCTATTACAAAAAACTAATAAACAACTTATTAAGAATGGTATTACCCATTAAAATGTAAATATATGAACTTTTACCTGAAGACACTTTTTTGTGAGTCACTTTTTTTGTGAGTTATTACAGCAAATTTTCTGATTACTCTCATATCTCACTATTAACTTATCATGATGATGTGTGCATATACTTGTAATTTATTCTTCTTTCAAATTTGTTTGTTTTACAAGTAATTTATGACCATTCCTGTCAATATCTTTAATCACATTTTTTATTTGGGTATATGATTGTTTATAACAAGCTCCATAATCATTTACAAAATTGCAGTTGATTTTGTTCTATATATTAAATATAATGAGGAAATGTATTCTAAACACTTAAATACAAGAAATCTTAAATACAATATTCCTAATGAGCAAAGTACACTTGAACACAAACAGTATATTTAAATAAAAAATAAAGTTATATTTACAAAGAACAATATTTAAGCAATAATATTGCTTGAACAAATAGCTATTGGTTTTAATAGACATATTTTAAATGCCTTATTAACTATTAATTTTATAAACTATTAATAAAATTTAACTTTTTCATATCAAAATCCTATAAAAATGAATAACTTTTTTTCTACACGCTAAAAAAAGCTGAAAATTACAGTGAAAATGTTTTTTTTATATAACATTTCCATTGATTGATATTAAATCAATGATTGTTTGTTAACCAAACAGGCTGTAACTCTTTTTCACTGTTGGAAAGATCAACGCTGCTCATACTGTTGTCATCTTTGTCATTAATAATAATCCAGCATGTTTTTTTTTTTAATACAATTCGAATTTCATTGATATTAAATCAATGATTGTTTGCGCTTTTTAAATATAAAAAATGTATATTGATGAACATCCTATTTTCGAATAAATATAGATATTTATAAAAATATTATTCGATGTGCTAATTATATTGCTTTTTTTTTTACATATATCTCATAACCTAAAATAATTATAATAGTAAAAATTAACAACCCACTCTATTATTCCATTTATTATTTCACTCAAAATTTCATTTGTCTTTGATTAAAACTTTGCACTTAATTGTGAATTATTTATATATATTTGATAATTTTTATATAAATTGCTATAAATATTTGAAAACATAAATAAAACGCGATAGAAATATGAGCATCAAATTAACTACAATATTTCAGCAATTAAACAATCAAATTGACTGGAAAAATTATTGATAATACAACAAAATGTAAAATCATAATAATGAATGAACAAAACATCTTAATGAGAGAAATTGCAAAATATGTTAACACAACGCATGCAACTTTTAGCAGAATAATCAGCTAATACAATCAGATACAATACAATTGAAAATCTTCCATGTCCTGGAAGACCTAGCATTTCAAATAAAATAAGTACACATTCACTTATTTGCATAGTGAAAAAAACATCTTTGCTTCCAACAAGGCTGCAAGCAACCACTAATTAGAGTTGGAAGTTACTGGAAGAGAAAAGATGAAGATTGTAGAGCAAGATAAAGATTGACAGACGACTTAAAAGATTGCAAATTATATGAATCAGGAAAGCAAGATGAAGGAAGCGAATTCCAAAGAACTGATGTTCAAGGAAAAAAACTAGACGAATAAAATTTTTTGGAGCACTTAGGAACAGTAACAGAAAAAGGATGACACTTAATTGAATGACGAGTAACTCGAGAATGAATTTTAGTAGATGGTACAAAAGACACTAGCTCTTTCGAGCAGTGCCCATTATAGTATTTGTAGAAAAGAGAAAGAGAAGCAACATTACGACGATGTGACAGAGGTTGAAGGTTGGCTGCAAGAGCAGGTCCAACTATGTTTACAATGCATTTTTGCACCTTGTCTAAAAGAGAAAGGGCATCATTAGAAGATCCGCCCCAGATATGGCAACAGTATTCCATACATGACCGGATTTGAAATTTATAGAGATAAAGAATAGAATCCAGAGTAAGAAAGTGACGAGCTCGATAAAGAGAAGCAACTTTAACAGATGCTGATTTTGCAACGGATTTGATATAAGGTTTCCAAGAAAGATCAGAAGTAGGAGTTAATCCTAGAAGATGAAGGGTAGGAGACTCATCGAGTACATTACCGTTTAAATATATGAAGGTCTAAACTGTTGCGATAATGATTGGCCAAAAAAAATTGAGTTTTATCTGAATTAAAGTTCACCAGCCACTGTGAGCCCCATGCTGTAGCAGAAGTGAGATCCTTTTCAATCTCAAATGCCTTCTGCAAGCAATCAGAGGGAGTTGGCTTCTTATTGTGACAAGAATAAATGGTAGTATCATCAGCCAACAATGCCACTTTAGATGTGAGAATATCTGGAAGAAAAAAACAAGACTCTGATAAGCACTTGTTAAATAGTTTTGAAAGGATAGATGACAGCTCCGGAGAACACTTCTGCGAGACTATAACAGGTATGTTGTTCGGGCCGCAAGCTGTAGAAGAGTCTAAGTGGGAAATCACTTTAGATACAGAAGCTAAAGTGATACAGATGTCGAGCAATGGATCAACCTGTTTGATGGCTATATCAGGTAGAGTGCAACTAGTAGAATCAAGAGATGATATTGATGAAAAGTTCTTGGCAAACAATTCAGCTTTGTCTTTAGGTGAGGTGACAAAGTCTGGACCATACAAAAAAGGTGGAATTACAGACTTGCCCTTATTGTTGATACAATTAAAGATTCTCCAGAAGTCACGAGAGCCTAATTTTTGTGATGAAATACAAGATTTCATGATCTGAGAATAGTGGGCTTTGGCATTAGACAAAACCTTTTTACAATGGTTCCTAGCAGTAATAAACAGACGTCTGCTTTCTGGAGAATTGATTTGCTGATAGATATGGAAGTAATGGTTTAGATTGGCAATTGCAGCAGCACAATGTGAGGAAAACCATGGAGAAGAGTGAGGCTTGAACTGGAATGATCAAGAAGGAATAAAGGATTCCGTGCCAGCCTGAATCCACAAAGTTATGTAAGAAGCACATTTGTCAACAGGGAGACGAAAGATTTCTACCCATGATGCCATCACAAAAAAAATCACGGAAATAGTCCCAGTCAGCTTTAAGGTAGTTGTAAGATGTACAATGATAGGGGGATTCTGATGGTAAAGAAGAATGAGATAATAGTTTTAGAGAGACCAAACCATGATTGGAATCACCTAAGGGTGAGTGTGGAGAAACTGAGCACTGACTAGGATCAGAAACAAGACATAAGTCAAGTAGAAAAGGTAAATGATTCGGGTTGTCTGGAAAGCAAGTTGGAAAGTTGACTATTTGAGTTAGGGATTGAAAAAGGCAAAAGTTGTGGGCCTTAATGCCTGCAGAGTCACTGACACTAGAGCCAAGCCATTCAGTGTGATGAACATTAAAGTCACCAACAACAACAATATTGGCTGATGGATAAAGAGAGAGGGCTTGGTCAATATGATCAGAAATAACATCAAGAAGAGTGCAGTCTTGAGATGAGGGAGAGCGATATAGAACAAAGAGAAAGGTGATAGAGTGAAGTGGTGCTAAACGAAAGCACATGAAAGAGTAGTCTGTGGATTCAAACTTAGTTTCCCGACAAATGGGTGAATTCTTATGAATGTAAATGCCCAGGCCAAGCATGTGACTATTGGAGTCTTTACGAATTAAAGGAAGATAACCATCAACACTCAAATTAGTCTATGAATTGAGTCAAGAAGATCCAGCATTCAACATCCTAAACTGGAAACAATGTATTAAAAATACATCTGCGCCAGCCTAATAGATGAAAATAAAAATAAACAACAATGCATTAAACTAAAGAGTTAAAAGTTTTAGTTCTTTATTTTTATATTTATATGTATATATATATATATATATATATATATATATATATATATATATATATATATATATATATATATATATATATATATATATATATATATATATATGTATAGTATCTAGTTCGAATAGCACAAAAAAATTGTATCAACTTGTTGCTCTCAAAAAAATTTTGGGGCTTTATTGTTTCCAGGCTCGAACTATCACCATTTTTTCAAAGCATCCTTATTTGACATAAGTATAAACATATAAATGTTTGGAGTTTATGGTATGCTTGAAAGTTATCTCAAAGACCAAAAAATTCTAGATCTACCCCTAATATAAAGAATATAATAATAGATGCTGTAGATATAATTTTTTCATAATTACAAAACCTTCATAATTACAAAAGTAAATAACTTACTAAAAACATCTTCAATTGGATTAAGTTCAGAATAAATTTTTAATGCATTTAGTATATCCAATTTTGCTTCGGATTTATATTGATACTAAAATTAAAAATTTGATTTATAATGAGGAATAATCCATAAAAACAAGAATACATCCTTACTTGAGTCACCATTAAAGAATAATACTCATTCATATAACACTTATTTTTCAAAATTAAAATGCCATTCAAGTAAAAAATGCCACCTTAGTATAATTTATATTTTTAATTTATTTAAATATTGATTTTTCGCTAATTAAAATGTCATACATTATACTTATATTTTTATGTGCTTATCATTTTATTTTTGACATATTTACTTTTTTTATTTTTTAGTTTTACTTGATGATAAAAATAAGAAATTAGATTTAAAATTTATTTATTTTTGTGGAAAATAATATTTGTGGCTGATGCCACCAAGGCCCCCTCCCCCACTTTTATTCTAACAAACCTTTTTTTTCTAAAGATATAGAAAGATTTTTAGAGGTTCTAAGAAAACTAAAAAAATCAAAGTGTTTCTTAACAATTTTGATGAACTAGATTTCCATGGACTAGTAACTTTATGTAATAGTTATAAACCAAGATATTTAAAGAAAGAAAATAGTTTTGAAAATTTATTTTAGAATATTTAGATAAAGTTTCAAACTGCAACTAAAATCAGCAAACTTGAACATTTACTGACTTTTTCTGTTTATGAACTTTTGTTTTTTTTATAAACTTTTAAACATTAATTTCTTTTTTACAGGTGCAAAATAACAATATTAGAGGTTTGGTTATATATGGTTAAACAATATTAGGGGTGATCTTGATTTTTCTATTGATCAAAAGAGTACAACAAGTTTATTGAGTGTGAAATGCCTAAAAATGAATACCCTTTTAATAAAAGTTACAGTTTATTCTTTTGAAGTTCTTTTTCTATTGCTAATAGGTAATTTTTGAATTTGACAATTGCCAAATATAATTGTTGAATTTGACAATAGCCAAATGTAATTTTTGAATTTGATAGCAGTCTATTCAACAATTACATTTGACAATTGTTGTGAGAACACTTGTATTTGACAACTGTTATGACAACAACTGTATTCAACCTTGACTTTAAAAATGACTTTATTTTCAGATGTATTTATTACTGTTTGATTGCTTAGAGTGGATCATTAAATTTAAATACCATCCTCTGTTGCATTAAAAAACAAATCTTCTATTTTACATCTTTTAAGATATATTACTACTCATCTCTTACAGAAAGAATAACCTAATCTCTTACAGAAAGAATAACCTAATTTTAATTCCTTTATGAATTTTTAATTTGAAGTGTCTGTTCATTATTCAGGCACTTTAAAACAGAGATAGGATTTCTTAAAAAAGACCCCAAAAAATAATCAAAAACTGGCTATTTTTATGTGGACTAAAAAATATGAAATTCTAAATCTTTTAGAAACTTTTGTACTATGATGGAATCTGAATGAATGAATGTAACGATTCTCTGGATACAATAATACACAGAAATATTTCAGAAAATTTATTCAATTTATTCAAAAAAGTGAATTCCAATTAATTTTTTTTTTCTAAGACAATACATATTTTTGATTTAAAACAATAAAAAAAACTTTTACTTCATATAACATACCTTATTACTTTTTAACTTATCTACCAAAAAGTTTTCCCATCTCATTTTTAATGTTAGCAAACTAGATGAATAAAAAATATATCATAGTAAAAAATATTTTACAACAAATAAAAGTTATTTAACTCATTTTCAGTATTTAGAATGACAAATTTTTATAGACACTTTTAAGCTCTATAATATACTTAAAATTTTATTTAAAACTTCTTTATCTTAGACCTAAATTCAAAAAAGATTTTCATTCATATAAACACAGTTTTATTTTTTATAAAGTGAACACAAAGTTGAACAAAAAGTGAACAAGACACAAACTTTGTGACAAAGTGAACCAAAGTATTAATAGGCTAACTTTTTAACAATTAAATTTAGTAAGTACAATATATAATAGTAAATACTGTGAGTTTGAAAATAATGACATAATAGAGTTACAATGACGTCCGGAACAATATTTAAATTTATTAAACTTTTAAAATATTATTGAAGTAATTCGTTGCAAATATTTAAAGTTTAGATATTAAATATAGCGCAATTATTTAAGCATTTTGTGCAGCTATCGCTTATAACTACAGTCTCTTATAAAAAAAATAACGAAGTAAGTGAGTATTACAAACTGTTATAAATAAAATTTAACTCTTTATTTAATTAATTACACTTAAATTTAAAAAGTTAAATAAAAATGTTATTCTTTTTTTTTTTATCTTGACCTAAAGTTAATATCATAAAAATTTTATTAAAATCAAAACTTAAAACTTATGCAAGTACCTAATTATAATTTTATTTATTGGTCCAAACTTAAGTCCAAAATGATATCTGGAAAACCAACGTGAGACAGAGATATAGGAAGAACCTGGTGGGAATCTGGTGCATCAAAATGAAAAAGAAAGACTGAAACAGAGAAATCAAACCAAGCTACGAGCTCCAGTATGATGAAGTTTCTTAAGAAACTCCTTACAACTGTTACTGATCCAGAGTCCTCTGATGAATCTCTTGCCTATGTTTCTTTGGTATCTGAAATAGAACCAGCTTCAGAGTTGAATGTATCAGCTGTGACCAGTGCCGGATCAAGGGGGGCCAGGGTATATAGCCCTAGGCCCCCGCAAATTTAGGGGCCCCCAAAAATTTTAGATGCATTTTTTTTTAGTCATTTTTAGGCTCAAAAAGGCAAAAATAGCCCCGGGCCCTAAGAAGCTTTAATCCGCCACTGGCGGTGACCCAAGAGTTTAAACGCAATAAAGAATTGGCAAGTGATAAAATTTATGACTCGGTAAATTAAGAGCAAGCAATTCATTTAAGCGATTCATTTAGAAACTTAGATGAGGGAAAATGGACATTTCCAATAACCGTCTCTTAATATAATAAACTTTTTAGCCTCACAAAATCTGGCATTTAGAGGTCATGGCAAATCACCTAACCTGGGCAATAGCAGAAACTGGTAACTTTATTGATTTATTTAAGTTGTTATCCGAATTTGATTTGACGCTAAAGGAACACTTGCTACTAATTAATGAAAAGCAAATTGCTCAAAATTATCTGAGCCACGACATTCAAAATGAATTAATTACATTGATGTCTGAAATAGTTATTGATGAAACTACACACAGAGTTAAACAAGCAAAATACTCTGTCTTTTTGCTCGATTGCACCAGAGATGCAAGTCGTAATGAACCAATGTCAATAATATTAGGATTTTGCATTTCCTCAACTAGAGCGAGAGAGGAATATTTTTTTGGTTTTATTGCCGTTACGGAAACTACAGGAGAATATTTAGCAAACTCCATAATGTAAGAAATAGAGAGAAATGTCTGGTTATATACAAAATTGTCGAGAACAGGGGTATGATAATGGCGCCTATTTGGTAGGCATTAATAAAGGTGTCAGAACAAGAATACTCAACATTAATCCATGAGCGTTCTTTACACCGTGCGGATGTTATAGCTGGAATTTACTTTTAATAGATTCAATAATTCTTCTTCAACAGCTAAAATGTTTTTCGGCTTTATTAATAAAATCTATGTACTCTTTTCGAAGTACACAAGCTTTGGGAACTCACAAAAACTAAATTGAAACTAACACTAACTGTCTCTTTCAGAGACACTGAAAGAGGTGGGAGAGTAGAATAGGAACAGTAAAAGCTATACTATTGCAATTTGATCGAATGTGTGAATGACTTGAAAAATAAAACGGATGATTCGGAAACTCTAAGCAACTGCAAAGCAGTTTTGGACAAAATGTTAACTTAAGAATTTATTGTTGGTATACACGTGTATACCAACAATAAATGTTTGAAGTTAGCTACATGTCTGGAAGTTAGCTATCTCAAACACCAAAAAATGCTGGATCCACCCCTGTTTGCAAATACTAAGAGGCTAGTCATATATCCAAATAAAGTAAATTTATAAATCGGTAAATGTTAAAGTTTAATTTAAGGTTTTACTTTTCAAGTATTTTATAACTAAGTTGAGTAGATGTAACATTCAAACCTTCTTTTTTCGAAATAAATGGGGAGGGGTTTTTAATAAGCTCTAAGTACGCATAAAAAAAAAAATGCGTATCTTCTTCCCGTAAAAAGGTGGTTGGTGTGGAACAGACTTGCCATGATCCGTATTCTATGGGTCCGGATTGCTTGTATTTTTTAATGACTCCTAATCATAATAATTTAGAAATCGCACAATATCAATTTTCTAGCAAACTGAAAGAAAGGTTTCCAACCACCAAATACTTTTTAAAAATCGATAAAAAAAAATGAATTTTTTAATATTTAGTTCATTTAATAGGCAATTTATTGTATATTTATAATATAAAATTTTTTTTCCCAACTTCGCTTTATATTTTGGAATAACTTAATAAACTAAAATATATATATATATAGCAATGAGAAAAAAGGTTTAATCTTCCTCTGCCTTTTTTTTTTTATTTTATTTGCATTCACTCCCAACAAGGCTGCAAGCAACCACTATCAAGTTGGGAGTTACTAGGAAAAAAAAGAACAGAGTTATAGAGCAAGGAAACGGTTGACAGAAGAATTGAAAAGTTGAAGGTTGTATGAGTCAGGAAAACATAAAGATGGGAGAGAGTTCCAAAGGATTGAAGTGTGGGGAAAAAAACTAGATGAATAAAAGTTTTTAGAGCATGCAGGGACAGATACAGTAAACGAATGAGACTTAGCTGAATGACGAGTAAAACGAGAATGAATTTTAGTTGATGGAACTAGAGATGATAACTCCTTTGAGCAGTGACCATGATAGTATCTGTAGAAAAGAGAAAGAGACGCAACTTTACGACGATGGGAAAGAGGTTCAAGCTTAGCAGATAGTCCAGGTCCAACAACATTTACAATGCGTTTTTGGACCTTGTCAAGAAGAGAAAGTGAATCGTTAGAAGAACCAGCCCAAATATGACAACAGTATTCCATACAGGGACGAATAAGAGATTTGTAGAGGTAGAGAATGGAATCAGAAGTAAGGAAATGGCGAGCACGATAAAAAGAAGCAACCTTAGCAGAAGCTAATTTAGCAATTGATTGTATATATGGTTTCCATGAAAGGTCAGTAGTAAGCGATAATCCAAGAAGACGTAAAGAGCACGACTCAGTAAGAGGATTGCCATTCATTAATATAGGAATGTTGACCATATTACGGTAGTTGTTTGCAGTAAGCAACTGGGTTTTTTTAGAGTTGAAATTCACAAGCCACTGTGAACCCCAATCTATTACTGAAGTGAGATCGGATTCAAGATCAGCTGCTTGTTCTAGGCGATCGAAAAGAGAAGACTTTTTCTCTAACTTAGAAATTTGAGAAACATTTTCCGATTACAAACATGATATTTTGTAGAGCAGAAGTGCAAATCACTTTAATTTTTTTTAAAAATATTTACTATACTATTTTCCAGGAAGTTTACTATACTATTTTCCAGTTAGTGACATTTCTAAAATTCAAAGTTCTGCTCCAACCTTTTTTTAATTTTTAGACCTGAAAAGTTTTTTTTTAATAATTTATATTAAAAAAATTATAAAATTTTTAGATGTACTTTGAAAATCTAAAAAACCAATAGTCAATACATTACCTTACATGTCTAGAATATAGGTAAAAAATTCCATTGGTTTTTTTGATAATATATTTCAAGTTATCGTGTTTTGAATTGACCCATTAAAATGAATGTTTTTTACTAAAATTGAGGCAAAGTTATTGAGGCAAAGTAAAATGAACTATAAAAAAGTACAATTAATTTTCTATTTGTTTCAGATCGGTATTTACAAGCTTCTCGATTACAAACTTTAAAAGTTGTCTTAATCTCGAAATTTCAACTCTGCTGCTTATAAACATTATTTATTGGTTTTCATAAAAATTTTAATATTTATCATAAACCCAGCTAAATCAGAGCTTGTACTGAAATACTCTAATGAACTAAAGCAATAAGTTGAAACTAAGAGAATATTTTGACTCTTTATTATAAGTAACTTTATTATAAATATTAAGTGAGAAGAATAAAGAGGTAGTAAAAAATCTGTTGAAACGACTTTAATTTTTATTAGAGCTACTTTCATTAAATCACTAAAAATTGTGTTAAAATATTTTAAATGACAGTAATAAAAGTATAAATCTTAAATATAACATGCGATATAAAAATTATATGTACTTGGCAAGGCCGTCCCGAGGAGGGGGGTGTAGAGGGGTGTCTAGCCCCCTACGAATTTTTTCGGTCGGCAAATTGGAACTAGTGCTTCCAATACCGATACCATTTTTCAATACCGGTATATCGGTACTAAATAATTACAATACCGGTAATACCGGTATAATACCGGTATTAAACTTTATTTTTAAATTTATCATAATCTAAATAAAATCTCAAGTTAATAGTAAAAATTTTATTGATTCAATCAGCTTATTTATTTTATATCAAAACTACTGACTTTTTCATTTTTCGCTTTTTTCTGCTTTGTAAAATGAGCCCGTAAAAAACATAGGGCGTTCAGAACATCATCTTCAAAAGATCATCTAATTTTGTTGGCTTCACAGTTTTCAAGTAATGGTAGGAATTTTGCAAATATATACAACGATTTCCTCCTTCTTCAAAAATTCCTATTTCAATACATATAATTTTTGATGAATTATTCGAAACATTCAATTTTCCCTTGTTGTTACATTTCTTATTTTTCAAAATTGCAAAGTCAAGCTTTTTTTTCAATGACAAGTTTACAGCGTTGTCCACAGAATCACTATCGGAAAAAACGCTGGTGAAAAGGAGAGGACTATACCCTTTCTGATTGAGCCGATCTTTTAGTCGAGTAATGGTATTTACAATGGCTAATTTGCTATGGTGCTCAAAAGATAGAGCTAGATCCAAATTCTTGTAACATTGATGTCCCTTGTGCAAAAAATGTTGTATGCTGGAAAAAGAGTACGCTGCTCATTGAATTGTTGCACCA